AGAGAGAGAGAGGGAAAGGTGGTTTTCTCCTTTCATTCTGTCTAGAATTGAAACCTTGGACAAATCTATAGAAAGGGGTGAGATGGGATGAACAGTAACCAGGTCACAAATTTAGTACCTATCTGCTCCTATAGTGACAGGCTGAACCAACAAGGAGTTCCTCTATCACTCCTGGCTAGTGAGATTCTGCAGTGTCTCAGCCAGTGAGGGAACAATGCCATAGCAGCAGGTTAGTTCTCTTTTAGTGATCCTGTCACCTGCAAGCTGCCGCCTTTGACTGAATAATGAAAGCAATGTAGGAATAAATAAATGACATGCATATGCAATGTCTCAAGTTTACCTGACTAAATATATTACCAGCAACACATGAAACCATACTGCATAGACTTTATAAGGACCTGTTTATAAGGGTAGGTGCATAGCTATATGGTCCTACCATGTAAATCCAAAGGTTGAGAAAAGCCAGCATGCCAACTTAAAATACAAAATGATAGTTTACTGAAGCCCCATATCAGTAAGGAAACACTAATGTTTCAGGGGTGTGTGGACTGTCTTTATCAAGGTTACAAGCACAGACAAATAATCACAATATACACATCTTAAAGACAGGTGAGTGATAAACAAAGACCGCCACCCTACCACCATTCTGGATATAAGGTACGACCTTGTTTATTTAATTTTATGGTAGTATGGCCAATGTGGCCATTTACAATATGCATGGTACAGTATGGCAATCAGTAGTGAGGTGATCTATGTTTATCAATGACCAGTCTTTAATATGTGTAAATGTGTGTATATATATATTCCCACGAGGTTGCGAATATTTGCCTCTGCTTGTGACCTTGATAGAGAGGATTCATGTACCCTCAAAATTATCGTGTTTCTGTACTGATATGGGGCTAGTAAATTATCCTTCTGGATTATAAGTTACCAAACTGGCTCTTCTCTTCTTTAAATATATTACAAGGGAAAAAGTGGAAATATACCATATAGTTTTTAAAGGTCCACTGGTCATTTTGGTTCTTCCTATTTTGCTTGCTACTTGGTCTACTTTAAACTTTACTTTTAATGAATAAAAAGATAGATTAATAAAGGTATATACAGTATAAAAGGTGCAACAATGCTGCACTAATATGAAGTCCTGTGAATATAAAATATGATACATTATGAGGCATTCTATTTAAGTATCTGCTAGGATAGAGTAGCCGTGATATAATATTATAGTAATAATAATAGTTACAAAATTGAATGTATTAAAATATTCTTCTGTATCAAAATCTTTATAATTGTTCCCCCGATACTGTATATTCAATATATTTTTTTAAATAGAATAAACATTAACTTCAATGTGAGTCTGCTGCTCGTTAAAAATAGACATGGTTTTGCTGAAAACCACAAAGACAATACTGCCTATCATCTGTAATAATTGGTCTCTGACCACACCTAGTCCATTAGTTGCACAGACTGAATACAGAAACATTATTGAAGGATCTGGAGATTAGCAGACAGGAAGAGGAGCAGACTGCATCACTCAGCTGCTACAGGACACAAACACCCCCAGCATAAGAGGAGTCAGGCAAACTTTGTTCCAAGCAGCAGACCAGAAGGTAAGCATCAGTATTAAACTTTATTTTGGAAAATGTATTGTCTGTCTCACATACATACAATGTTAACAGCATCATGATTTTGTTACATGCTGTACATACATTTATATATAAATAGATGTGTGCGTGTGTATTTCAAATTGATCAACTTTGTTCTTTCTGTTAAAAAGTGAATAAATAGAAAATATAGTAAATATATTTGTATTAATTTGGACTTCATTTTGTTAAAGTTCTTCCAGTATTTCACAATCAGAGCACTGCCCAGCAAGTGCATTATAAGCAATTATAGCATTAAATATTAATCTTGTTTGCCCTCCATTTCATGTTTATGGCTTTCTCGTGTCAATAAACCTTGTACAGTAAAAGCCAGCTACAGAATTGTCTATCACTGTTCACGTTCTATTACTCTTCCCTTAATTATGGTATAAAGACTGTGTAGAAATGTAATTTTGATAGATGCAGTTTATGTAGAATAATTAGGGGTGTGTGAAAAGCATGGTTGGTAATGTGACAGATCATTAAAGTGACATTAAACCCTCAGATTTTTTTAACATAAAACAATAGTGTAATGTGTGCCTTACTGTAATCCATGGTTGTTTCCCTTCTCTTTGCTGCTCTTCCTTTTAAATCTGTATCTGTTCTCATGGTGGGCAGAACTTCTGTTTTGCAGCAGACTGCCTTGTCTCTGAAATGGATACATGGTGTCTGTGTGTAGGTTTGCAACCTGAGCCAGCACTACAGGAAGAGGCACTCAGCTGCAAAGGGAAGTTCTCCCCCAGCATGAGAAGAGATAAGGATTTAAAAGGAAGAGCAGCAAAGAGAAGGGAAACAACCATGGATTACAGTAAGGCACACATTACAGTATTGGTTTATGTTAAAAAATCTGAGGGTTTAATGTCACTTTAAACTTGTATTCCCTCCACAATGTATTACAAAGTCTTATAAAGTGGGCGCAATCTTTATTTTTGTTACAATATGGTGATTGTTTGCACAGGAGCAGTGTGAGGACTCGTTCTGGATGGCTCCCAGGGATTCATTCGCTGTCCACTTTCTTCTGGTGCTGAAAGAGATGCTGGCCTTTGTGCTGTTCAGTTATACCGTGCTGATCGGAGCTCTGCTGGTTGCTGGATGGACAACTTACCTCCTTGTCCTCAAATGAATGCTATTACAAGGCATGGAAAGGACTTAGTACCTTCATTGTCATCTCTTCTGTACTCCTAATGGCTACAATCCCACTATTATAATGGCTAATGTTTATTGTAATATCTTCACTTCTAACGTAAGATAGACAAAACCTTGTATATGATATGTGAAAATAATAAAAGCTGTTAAACCATACTTTTCCAACAAAGTTCTTACTAAGGGAAAGTCTTAAGCTAGGTATACACTTGTAGATTTGTATACAAACATTCATTAGAACATTTAATAATGCCATCAGAGACTTGTAGAATGTCATTTGAAATGTAATTTTATTTTAACATTCAACTTTGAAATGATTTGAGTTTGGCTGACCTCACATGGGCAGCAGCCTCCACCACCCCCTGAAAAGCAATCCGTGGTGGATCACTTTTTGAGAGGGCAGTGGAGCTGCAGCTGCCCAGCGTTCAGGAGGTGATACTGCTGCCTGCTGAATGCAGTTTTTTTTTAAATCCCACTGGGAATTTTTTGTTGCAGTATTGCACTGAAAACGTTTACCCACACGGTTGCCGCATGGTCCCATTGATTGCAATGGTCACTTTTGACAAGCAGAACAAACTGTCAAATGTGACACATTGTATATTTTTTGCTGCACAGCATTGCGGCCACAGTAATGTATACAGCACTGTCTGGCCACAGTAATGTATACAGCACTGTCTGGCCACAGTGCTGACATTGCAGATACACCACCTGATTTTACTGCCCCCTTGCCACCCATGTGAATGAGGTCTTCCTGGAAAGAAAACCACATTTACTGTTAGAATTTTGTTTGTTTGAGAAAATGTTTCCATTCTGTTTCTTTGATTTGTTTTTGTTACTGTGATCAAGAACAGTTGGTGACTTGACCCCACTGACTATTCCAAAATTGAACAAACATTCCGGAAATGACCATTTCTGGAAAAAAAAATCTAACCGTGTATACCCAGCTTTAGCATATACGTTGTAAGATGGTGTTTACTATTGTTATCTACCTAGGCCAGATTACATGAATGCATAGCTGTTGACAGCAGATAATGTCCCAGCAATGCTGTCCATTCTTTCACAAGCAATTAGGACAGACCCGTGTCCAAAGAATATGTTATATCCTCTGCTACTGTTATCTAAAGGCATCTGCTGGCTGTTGTGATACTACTCTGCCAACAAATAAAATGGATTACAACTATTCACTGTCCTGCTTAGGGTTATTTATACCAAGTTTACTGGTTGCACTATTCTACTGTGCAGCAATTGAAAGCTAGCATTAGCTTTATATGCAGAATTGTATACAGATAGTTCCTAGGGGTGAAGAACCAATAAAGAAGCCGACTGCAATAAATCATATACTGAATGGTAGCAATGTTAGCAAAGAAAATAAGCAACCCATTGCTTAAAGTATTGGGAATAAATGAATGATTGTATTTTTCTAATCATGTTGTCTGTTTTGCTAGGTAAAAATAAAATATGTTAAAGGAAAATGGATTTCATCTGCAATTTGTGGAAATCATTTATTTCAAAATGATTGTGTCATGGTCTCCACTATCTGCATTAGTGATGGGTAAATCTGCTTGGGTTCAATTCTCCACGGGTAATTCATTGAACCTGAACCTAGAGGCGAATACCATTAAAATCTATGGCATACACACCGCAGCAATACCCCAATCTGATTCACCAGTCTGATTCATTTCAGTTTAAAAAAAATAATTTTTCAGGTAGCTTTATCAGTGACACATGACTTTTCATCAAATGTTAATAGGCCCGCTTTGAATGGCAGATCGAAATTGGCCAGTAATTTGCTGTGGTTGTTCTTGTTCTCACTGGTGCAAAACTTCCCTGCTACTGTCCAATTTTCATCAAGAGCTTGTTTAGAATTAAGAGACCACAGATGATACAGAGTACGGACAAGTGTACATCTGTCGTCTCTTAATTCTAAACGAGCTCTTGATGGAAATTGGACAGCAGTGTAAAATTTGCCAACATCAGGACAATTTTAAATAGCAAGGCTAGGCCCAAGTTTCCTGAAGACAAAGAGCACAATCAGGTGTTTTACTACAGGAATTAAGAGACAGCAGATGGTACAGTAGTGTAACATTTTCCAGCTGCAGGAACATTTTAATAAGCAAAGCCAGGCCCAAATTTACTAGAGACAAAGAGCACGGACTGGGGTTTTACTACAAGAATTAGGATACTGCAGAGGATTCAACAGTTTAAAATTTGCCAGCAACAGGACAATTTATATGAGGGATAATATATCTAACTGGTGCATGCCTAAATTGTATCTTTATCTATGGGGATGCGGGTGTTGAATGTGAGCAATATAATGTAGGGCTGTGGAAATTAAAGATTAATTTCTCGATGAATCGTTAAACTTTTTGATCGATTAAAATTATTTTGATCGCTAATGAAAACACTCACCTCTCCGCCGCCTTCCGGGAGTCCCGTCGGCGATCCGATGACGTCATGGACATCGACGTCACCGGACTCCTTAGATTAATAACGTGCTGGATTAGTGTGATCCTAGTTCATTTTATTACTTCATTGCTGTGCTGTATGTGTATAGGCCAATGTAGTTGGATCTGTATGTGCGTTATAATCGAAATTAATCGATTGGAAAAAAATGTGATTAATCGAACACGAAAATTTTAATCATTACCAGCCCTAATATAATGTCATGTGGTTTAGCTGCACTCTGTTTTGTTTCCTTTCAAATAAACAGCAGTGTGCTGTGAACAAAAGGCAGCTTAAAGAACAAATGGTCAGTACACGTAAATGCTCTGCCTTAAGCACCCCAAACTTAAACAAAAGGCCCTATTAAATAAAAACCCACAAAAGAAATGACAACCCCAAAATACCAGCCCTAAAACAAAAGCCTGCTTTTTAGAAAAAAAATAAAGGCCCTTCAACATAAAATAAAAACCAATATACCCCCAAAGTAAATGAAACCACATCAATCATCACTTCCTTACATAAGGCTATAAGAAGGTGCCATGCTGGGTGCAACTGTGGTTCCCAAATACTTATTGTACAATATGGACAAGCTGTCCAGGGAGCATGACGCCATAACTTGGCTTGTAGTCAATGCAGACGTTTGTCAGAAGTTCTGAGGGCAATATTTTGCCCTAAACTGGAAAGTGAGCTGAATTGGAGAATGTTTCCAGTTCAGCTATGTTGTCCTAGATTGTTCACTTATCCTGCCTTCTCCCAACCCTTCACCCTTTTGTGAATAACCCTGCAAATCTCTGCTTTGGGTGGAGTTATCCCGTAGTGATTTCTTACTAAAGCAACAACACACTCCTATAACAGTAACCTAACTGTTACTAATTGGTTCCCTAATAGGGATGTTTGCATTTTACACTTTGCCGGTGCTTCACTGAATGATAATAATGATGATATCAGTCACTGCTAACTATATTAATGATTGTTTTCCAAAGGAAACAAACTCTAGTTTTTATGAATGGTTTATCATACATGTACAGAACACGGCAAACCAAATTATTTGTAGACATATCTGGTCTAAATCCTTAAAGCTCCGAGTCTTATTTTCAGAAAAGTATAGGAGTCCATGTGTTTAGAATGCTCTTTTCACACATTTGGGATGCAAACTGTACAGTCAAAACAGTTTCATTTTGTTTACTAAATACGGTGTTACTTGAATGCAAAATATTTGCAAAATGGATATGTTTTGGTGTCTTTTTGGCTTTACTGTCCCATGTCATGTGGTTTCTACTGCATTGCAAGGGTGATCCCTATTTTACAGGCCATTTGCACTTTACCAGAAACAGACTTTCCATATGTTATTTGCGTCAAAGGAAGATAGTGGAGCTGATTAGTCAGTCCACAAAATGTTCATATAGGAGCAGTTCTCTTCGGAAGGGAAAGGTGGCCCCATGGACTTGGATCTGAGAGGGCATTATAGTCCACATTTGATGATCAATCCCATCTTTAAATCAGCCCACTAGAAGAAAACTTGACTTGGACTGGGAAGTTAGTAATGTGGATCTGTCATAGCAGTGCAGGCCTTAACCTAGACAACACACTGACTACAGGTATCTGAGCAAAGACCAAATGCCTGCAGAGAAGGTAAGTTCAAGGTACTCTGGTAAATACTGTCTCACGCAAAACACAGGACAGGAAATATGTGAAAGCAGACCCACTAACGTCACATGATTTCATGCTGAACGCACACACTTGGTCTGTTATTAGGTCCTCCTTTGATTGTTATCTCCTGTAAGATCTGCTCTGGCTGGAGGTTAAAGAGCAAAGAGATCCATTGCATGCCCCCCCCCTCCCCAAATGTTGAAGTATATTTGTATTTAATATAAAAGGAAGACTATTGAGCATAATACCAAGGCACAAGTAAAGTGCTCTACACACGCACTCAATGTTCACCTCTTTTTACTCTTAGATCAGTTTTGATATGCCACACAAAATGTCCCCATCTGTCTTCTTTCTTTTTGAGTCACCTCAATATAAATTATGTTGGTTCAATGTTTCATAGATATGATAGGAAAATTGAAATGGTCTGATTACTGAATGTAATAAAACATGCATAGGGTCATTGTTATAGAGATTCATCCTTTCAATTTGTCTTGGTGACCATTATGACTGAGATAACGAATGTCCTACATTTTGAGTTGTTACCAGAAGAGGAATAGAGGGGAAATCTTCCAATTGGGACACTAGTTTTGGTGACAACTGTGTAAGAGGGGATTTCCCTCACTTTGGAGGGATTTCCTTTCTCTTCCTGTTGTGGCTATGGGACAGGAAGTGAAAAGAAACCTCCTCAATGGGACACAGATGAGTGAAAAAACTGTCTGGGGTTATAACCCAAGATGAACAGGTAGGAGTAGCCCAACTGTGCTGACAGTGAGAGGTACTTAAAGGGGGCATGGTTAACCCCTTCGTGACGGGAGACGTACACTGTACGTCCCGTCACAAAGTGCCTATATGACTGGCCATGTACACTGTACGTGAAGAGTTATATCAGGCTTTGTAATGCCGGTAACCGCTGATTCTCAGCGGTTACCAGTCATTAATGAATGCCTCATTGTTGAGGCATTCATTAATTAAATAATTAAGTTTTTTGTAAAAGCTTCTTCCTTTCATTAATGAAAGAATGAAGCCGTTACATGCAAATATGGGACGCTATTAGCAATCCCGTATCTGACAGCTGAAAATAGCAGAGAGGTAGCAGTGACTCACCTCTCTGCTATTTGTTTTGACAGCTCGAGAGCCCGATGTTTAGATACATTTCACTCAAAAGATACAATGTATATCTTTTGAGTGAAATGTATCAGTTCTCATCGTCTAGGCACGATCAAAGAGCTTTTAGTGAGATCTGAATCTGACTAAAGTCACGATCAGTCTCTAAGGTTATGATTAGTTGTTCCCGGTTCATAATAGAAAGGATAGCCAAAAATAAAATAAAAAAGTTAATTTATCAAGCTGTCATAGTGATTGCTTGATATAAACTGACAAGAAAAAAAAAAAGTTTTTTTATTTTATTTTTATTTTTTTTACAAAGTGTAAAAAAATTAAAATAAAGTGTAAAACAAAATTAGGAAAATATAAATTATATATAAATATATTTTTTATACTATAATTAATATAAAAAAATTCTAAAAAAAATAATAATAATCAAAACTTGTGAAAAAAGTGTTTTCTTCTAGTTTTTTTCCTCATTTTTTTATTTTATTCAAACTAAGTGAGGGGTTAGGTACACATATGTGATATAATTATATAGCCCTATCTGTCCTCTAAAAAACAATATATAATATGTGTGGGTACATTTAGTAAGAAAGTATATTACTGCTGTGGAAGAATCACACAGCAAAAATGTAAAAAGTGTGTCAGTCATTTATGAACAGAAACTTAAAACTAGCTCAGTCATGAAGGGGTTAAATAAAACCTGAGCTTACTCACTGTATAGAGGGCACACATATGCATTCTTTCATTACTGTACCACATGCCAGAGACACATTCAAACCTCAGCACAATCTTATTTTTTAAGAAGATAAAAGCTTCTATAATCTATAGACAAGGATTACTTAACAACCAGTACCAATCCTGATAATAAACACTTTGGTCTGGATTATTTAATGTATAATATAGCATAACAAGTGCAGGGGTCAGGAGTATGAGTGTATATAGTGCAGGGGTCAGGAGTATGAGTGTATATAGTGCAGGGGTCAGGAGTATGAGTGTATATAGTGCAGGGGTCAGGAGTATGAGTGTATATAGTCAGGGCTGTCTTTACTGCAGGACAAAAGGGGCAACTGCCCTGGGCCCCATCATTTACAGGGGCCCACAGCAGCCATCCCTCTCGCCAGAGCAGCAGACAGAACAAGCAAAGCGCCACTACTGGTGGGGAGACCGACCAGTAGTGGTTTCCAGCCTGTCACTTCACAGGCTAGAAACTGCCAGTGTCTATGTGCCGCCTCCGGCAGTGGTCTCCCCCTCCCCCGATGCCTGTCACATAGATCCAGCAGGCACAGAGGAGAAGAGGAGAATGAGGTGGAGGGCACAAAAGTCTTATTCTATTATTAAGTAGAACAGAACAAATGTACCAGTACGGGGATATTTTAGCAAAATCGGAATTGCATTTCCATTGCATGTCCCGAAACAATTGCTGCACGGTGCACTGCATTTTCAACATATGCATTCTACAAATAGTATAGACATAGTCCATTGCGCATACAGGGGTCTGGGTAGGGAAGGTGGGAGGGGGGGCAGGTGCTGGAGGGTTTTGGAGGCCCATCAGCAAAGTCTTGCCCAGGGCCTAATTAATATTAAAGATGGCCCTGTATATAGTGCAGGGGTCAGGAGTATGAGTGTATATAGTGCAGTGGTCAGGAGTATGAGTGTATATAGTGCAGGGGTCAGGAGTATGAGTGTATATAGTGCAGGGGTCAGGAGTATGAGTGTATATAGTGCAGGGGTCAGGAGTATGAGTGTATATAGTGCAGGGGTCAGGAGTATGAGTGTATATAGTGCAGGGGTCAGGAGTATGAGTGTATATAGTGCAGGGGTCAGGAGTATGATTGATCAGGAGTATGATTGTATATAGTGCAGGAGTATGAGTGTATATAGTGCAGGGGTCAGGAGTATGAGTGTATATCGTGCTGGGGTCAGGAGTATGAGTGTATATCGTGCAGGGGTCAGGAGTATGAGTGTATATAGTGCAGGAGTATGAGTGTATATAGTGCAGGAGTATGAGTGTATATAGTGCAGGGGTCAGGAGTATGAGTGTATATAGTGCAGGAGTATGAGTGTATATAGTGCAGGGGTCAGGAGTATGAGTGTATATAGTGCAGGGGGTCAGAAATGCATAAGGCACAAAGTGCAGGGCTGAGGGGTGGTAAGCCACAAAATGCAGGGTCAGGAGTATGAGTGTATATAGTGCTGGGGTTTGAGATGCATAAGGCACAGAGTGCTGGGGTTTGGGGGTGCGTAAGGCACAGAGTGTTGGTGTTTGGGGTGCATAAGGCACAGAGTGCTGGGGTTTGGGGGTGTGTAAGGTACAGAGTGTTGGGGTTTGGAGGTGCGTAAGGCACAGAGTGTTGGGGTTTGGGGGGGTGTAAGGCCCAGAGTGTTGGGGTTTGGGGTGCGTGAGGCAGAGTGCTGGGGTTTGGGGTGCGTAAGGCACAGAATGCTGGGGTTTGGGGTGCATAAGGCACATAGTTCCGGGGTTTGGGGTGCGTAAGGCACAGAGTGCTATGGTTTGGGGTGCGTGAGGCACAGAGTGCTGGGGTTTGGGGTGCGTGAGGCACAGAGTGCTGGGGTTTGGGGTGCGTGAGGGCACAGAGTTCCGGGGTTTGGGGTGCGTAAGGCACAGAGTGCTGGGGTTTGGGGTGCGTGATGGCACAGAGTTCTGGGGTTTGGGGTGCGTAAGGCACGGAGTGCTATGGTTTGGGGTGCGTGAGGCACAGAGTGCTGGGGTTTGGGGTGCGTGAGGCACAGAGTGCTGGGGTTTGGGGTGCGTGAGGGCACAGAGTTCCGGGGTTTGGGGTGCGTAAGGCACAGAGTGCTATGGTTTGGGGTACGTGAGGCACAGAGTGCTGGGGTTTGGGGTGAGTGAGGCACGGAGTGCTGGGGCTTGGGGTGCGTAAGGCACAGAGTGCTAAGAGTGCTATGGTTTGGGGTGCGTGAGGCACAGAGTGCTGGGGTTTGGGGGGTGCGTAAGGCACAGAGTGCTATGGTTTGGGGTGCGTGAGGCACAGAGTGCTGGGGTTTGGGGGTGCGTAAGGCATAAAGTGCTGGGGTTTGGGGGTGCGTAAGGCACAGAATGCTGAGGTTTGGGGGTGCGTAGGGCACAGAGTGCTGGGGTTTGGGGTGCGTAAGGCACAGAGTGTTGGTATTTGGGGTGTGTAAGGCAGAGTGTTGGGATTTGGGGTGCGTAAGGCACAGAGTGCTATGGTTTGGGGGTGCGTAAGGCACAGAATGCTGGGGTTTAGGGGGTGCGTAGGGCACAGAGTGCTGGGGTACATCAGGCACAAAGTTCAGGGTTTAGAAGTGTATAACGAACAAGGTGCAGGGCCCAGGAGTACATCGTGCAGAGAGTACAAGAGAGTGTAACACACAGGCCAGGGTACATACTACAACCAAAACAAAGACGTTTATCTGAGCTAAAAGACCGTTCCAAGCCTGCCTTGGAAAAGTGAGCGGTGATACTGAAAACAGAGGCAGAGGTAGTTCCTCAGGTTCAGGACGTATTCTCTCTTTCTAGGGGATAGATGTGTCACCTGCCTGGCTATGGCGTGAGGTGAAGGTGCATTAAAGTGTATGTAAACCCCAACAATGGAATGATCTTATTTGCTAAATATACCACTGACAGTGTTTTGTTATATCTGTTTGAAAAGTGCAAAATACGCAGTTATACCCGGTTATTACCGCTCCACTGCGCATGTGCTGGGCAACTTCCCTACCACACGATGCCAGGCTGCAAGAACCAAGAAGAGAATGGCGCCCCAAAGGACATGTATGTTTTTGAGGTGGAGTGAAATCCCTCTTCAAGTTCGTTTAAACTCCAAACTTTTTGCTTTTCCTATGATAAAGGAAAATGAGCAGAATTTATCAAAACTGGAGCAGACGGAATCTGGAGCAGTTACATGTGGCAACCAATCAGCTTCTCTCTTTCATGTTTAAAGCTTAACTGAACAAACTGAAGAGAGAAGATGATTGGTTACTATGGCAACTGCTTCAGATTCTGTCTGCTCTAATTTTGATAAATTCTTCCAGTATGTATAATACACACATTCTTGAGAAGGTGATTTTTCTTTTACTCTGAATGTCTCTGGACTTATCTCAGTCCCCCCACTATGACATAAGCTGAGCACATGGCTGGGAAGTTCTGGTGGCTTGCCCTAAATGCGACCTCCCCGTACAGCGCCCAGCCGTCTGTCTTTGTAATATCTTCTTTCCCCAGCAGGGGACAACCGACATCAGGAAAGCGCCCCAGTTCCGACAGAGGCCAGTACGTCACTTCCTGTTGCCACCTGTAAGATGGCGTCCCTCAGTAGGCGGCTTGTCTGGAATGTCTCTCGCCTTCTTAGGTATACAGACAGCGTATTGTATTTCAGACTGAGATCATGTTTATATGGACCGCACTGTGGTCTCGGGGCTTGTCAGTGTACCAGGAGGTCCTGGCCGAGGCAGCGAACTTCCTGTTTGAGTTGTACCAGGAAGTCGGAGTCTTGGGGTTGTTCTGTGTGTATAATAGGTGACATCATGACTTGTGTATTGCTCTTCCTATCAGACTGACACTGCTAGACTGATGTATTTATCATAGAAATGGTCTGGATTCATTTGTCGCATTGTTTGTAGAAGACTGCCTCATCAGACTCGCTTATGGTAAAGACTAAGGATCGCAATACATGTAACAACCTCATTGTAAGATCTCTGTAGAATCAACTCTAGATTTACCAAAGCTATGTAAAAATGAGGACCTACCGAATCTATCCAATCATTTTGGATCCCGGCAGGTAATTGCACTACATAGTTGTTTGTACAATCTTCTTTAGATCTGCCATCAGGTTGTAACAAGCTGATCTCCATGATACAAGAAACTTGCTTCATAAGTGACATCCGATGTGTATATTAGAACGTGACACTTGCCTGCCCACTAAAAGCTCAATGTTAGCAGTGGATTAGTGCATTGTGGCGGCTTCATACGTGTTTTGCATGCTGCCTGAGCTGTCACTGTTGATTTTGTTTTTGTTTTTTTTAGTTTTTTAAAAACTTTATTGGTAGTGTACAATGTGTGCACTCCATTCAGGTCCCTGGACAGCAGTGAGCTGCAGTGTGAAACAATGCTTAATTTCTCTGTAATGTACCGCCTGTCACTCCTGTTTTGTGGTGTGACAGGACACAGTTGTTTTCTATGTATCCTAGTGACCTGCATTGATCCGGTGCAGTGGAATGCAGGTTACTGTTGTATGGGTGAAAGGGCCCTAAATCTTCCCCTTTTTAGTAGTTTACCTTTTAAACATCAGTGATGTCATTTTTCCCATTGATCTAAAACAGTTTTGGCCAGGCACCTGGAAGAGGTGTCATTGAGGCAGATATGTCATGTCTGTTTTCTGTGCGGCGCTGCTATGAGAAACTCCAATCCCCATCATGCATTGGGAATTGTAGTTGTGAATGGGTGGCATTTGGAGGGGCGGTATGTTTTGATGCAATGTGAGTGGGCAGGGCAGGCTAGGAGTTTGAGACGCCTGACTAAACCCACTCTAGTGAGTGGCAATGTTGCCACTCACTGAAAATGAAACTACAGAGAAGAAGTTACAAGACCAGTGGCCAAAAGAGTAGCAGGAATAGTGGCCATCAGTCAGAAAACAGAAAGAAGGGGACAGAGCCCATCTTCTGAATAATTCCTGCATGGATTTCTAAGTGGGAGTATAAAAAAAAGAAATGTATTTAACTCAGGGGTGGACAATTTAATCTGGAATTCAGGAGCCAGTTTGTCTAATCCAGGAGCCAGCAGAATCTTTTTAGGAACCAGCCCCATTGACAACTAGAGAAAACCTCAAAAGTTTTGAGTCAGCTGTATTTTTTTAAGGATCTTTAGTGACCTGGGTCCTGGGATTGGTCCAGCCCTGATTTAAAGTAAGAAAAGACCTTTTCAAAACTGACAAAATAGTTGTGCCTGGAGTGCAGCACGCACCTCTGTCATCCCAGGAAGGATCACCAGGAGATGTGTTTAGTACTTGGAGAGTGCTTACAGATACCATTGTTATCGAAGGCCTCATTCACATTGGCATGTCGCCCTGTACAGCATGAAGGGCCATTTTGTGATGTATGTGGAGCTCTGTGAAGAAGCGTGCGGACAGCATTTGTAACTCTATGGAGACACGTGAGCTATTGACCATCGCACACTGCTTTCAGCAGCTCTGAGTTCTAACAGCTGCACAGCCTCGGGTGCAGACATGATGGATCCAGGTCCATGTGCCATCTGTGTGAGGCTGTCAAAACTCGTAGCTGGGGGAAACAGCGCATGAGGGCACGCAGCTTCTGTGTCTCCATATAGGTAAATAAGCTGTCCGCAGCTCCAAGCATATTCAAAACCGTCCCTGTACACTGTGCGGGGCAATACACCTCAAGTGAATGTGGCCTTATTCAGCTGTAACCAACCAGGTTAAGATGATCTTACAGCTGAACCTCAGGCACAACTCTTGTCCCATGTAATGTGAAAAGATATCTGGCTTGTAGGGCTGCAACCAGCTAATCGATAATAATCAATTATGAGAATAGTTGTCAATGAGAGGAAGAGATATATTTTTTTCTTAATGCAACTAATCGAATAATCGAAAAAATAATCGGGCAACTAGTCGATTCTGAAAATAGTCATTAGCTGCAGCCCTAGTGGCTTGCCTTGTAAATTGCTGCATATGTCTTTAAGGAAGTCAGTAACCTAATACTAGAAGCAAGTACATGGAAAAGAGCTTCTAAGAGTAACTGTCTCAATATGAAGACTTGTATATGCTTTCCCTCACCTTGAAAGGTGGTTGTTATGGACATATGTGTCAATCCTCTACAGAAACTTCCTGGTACAGTTGCTTGTGTCTGGGCAACTCTTGTATGACTATCATTTTGGTTCAGTAGATACCATTTAGTTCACTCGGACACTCTGTGAGACAAACCTGACTACTCCCTGTCCGAATGAGATGGCATTTGCATTGCTTTTGTTTGGATGCCACAAGTAAAAAAAAAACTTTTTACATTTGAGCCATATAACAATAAATAAATAACTGTTTCCTACAAATTTATTTGAGTGCAAAATAATCCAGTCAGTACAATAATAGTTTTTACAACATTTAAAGCAGAATTGAAGATGAAACCTTTATTTTGTATGGATCGGGGAAATGTTGCAACTTCTAGTTTTTTTGTTTTAAATGTCCTCATTGGGGAGTTGGGGCGTGAGGAACAATGGGGGCGGAGTAGGGGGAGGGCCAGTTTTTTATTTCTAAGTGCCCCTAGGGAGAGTACCCTTCATTTCTTGGGTGGTCATTTGGGCCAGAACACAGAGTTTCACCCCTTAGGATAAGTCATCAACATAAATCTGAAATATAAAACAAATGTTTTACAAAGCATGCCCTTTGTTGGTATGTACTATTCAATTTAATATCCTATTGATATGAATATTCATGTTGTTGTTTTTCTTTTCAGGCCAATTTTCCCAATTGTCTATAGGAGATCCTTTGCAGACCTTTTTAAAGGTTCATGGCGTCAAGTGCTTCCTGTTGGCTTAGGGACAAGTCTCTGTGCTATTCCTGTGGGGCAGGTAAGGAAAATATATGAGAAACCATGTTAGTAGTAGAGTCTTGTGTCATGTTCGCCATCAATCAATGAGGAGAGTTTGAAGTTTAAGTCATATCCTGCATGCTATGACTTCCTCAGGCATTCAAAAACAATTGTAAAAATTGCTGCTTTGCATACCAGTCACATGACCGATATTCAGGATTTTTCTTTCATGTGATCTTTGCTGAAGGGAAGCATCAGAATTCTGTTCAAAAACCTTTTTGTTTAACCATGATACATAGGCTAGGCACTTGAAGGAAACCTATAGTGAGAAATGCAGGTGCTGGAACTACCAACCTTCTTCTGAGATATTAGTTGCTACTCGCTGTTAAGGTAAAGCTGCCCATACACCTTACGATTTATCTTTTGATTTCTGAACGGAATCGGGTTGTTGTGCGATAATCAGCCAATTGATGGGAAGAGAACGATCACAATTACTGTACAACTGGCTGAATTTCCTCGATCGGTCAGGCTGGAAAACTTTTTAGAGTCGTACGAAAATCGATGGATTAGTGAACACTGTGTGCATGTGCAAACGAAAATCAATTCTGTCAATTGACGAAATTCCGGTCAGTTAAGTTTTGCTAACAAACTATAATTGAAATACACATTGGTCTGTACATGATGGAGTAGTCGTGCAGAAATCGAATGACGGTTCGATGATGGGGCAAAACAAATCGTACGTTAATTGTAAGGTGTATGGGCAGCTTAAGCCTGTCATGTGAGAAATATGGTTACTGTTGTGGCCGACTTCCTTTTAAAAATGCTAGTTGCCTGTCTGTTAGATTGACCCATTCATTTCAGTACTTTGAACAAGTGCGCAGATTACAAATGTCAGACTTCCTTATGTGCTTACTTGTTCTAGGTGATCTAATTTTAAAGGAAAAGGGTTAGCATGACTTCCAAGCAACTAGCATTTTCAGAAGCAGTGAACGGCAATGGCAGCCTCCATGTTTTTCTTATGACATCCGAGAATCGGAACTGCACATGCGCCCGCCCCAAGATCCTTTGCGGCCGTACGAGCAGTTCCTGATTCTCGGCGCGGGATCGAGCAGCGATAACGAGATAAGTTTAAAATGATTTTAAAATGATTTTTAAAATGATTTTAACACTTCTTGCCTAAATCTACTGCTTGCTAGCAGTAGATATAAGCAAAAAAACGGAGGGTTTAGAACCCCTTTAAGTCAGGTTATCTCCTAATTTGTTTGCATGTTCCCTGAACTGAGAAAGTGGAAGGGAATATCCGCTGCACTTCCAGGTTAAAGTATGAACACCATTCAATCCCTATATAAATGTAAAGACATTTCTAAATTGTTTGAAGGGATCCAGTGAGGACAGAACTATGGAAACTTATATTGCTGACTCGTTTTAAAAGTTCTCTTGAGCCCGGCTTACTACCAAATTAGTCGCTGACTTGGAACATGTACAGTACTACAACAAGAATGAGGATGACAGCCATGGAGGCCGCACCATTAAAAACAGGCTGCCAGTTCAATATTTTTGTCCCTGCAGGTCCTCTCCAGGCTGTGCTCTGTGTTTTTCCTGTTTGTTATACTTCCTGGCCAGCAACTAAGATGTCATATTAGACTTGCTTTATTGTTTGCACTGGAGGTAGGTGGAATGGGGTGCTCATGATGTTTTATGAGGCAAAGTCGTCTAAGACAATGGATGATTAATACAGGTATAGACCTTTCTTCCTGCAAAAAAAAAAAAAAGGGGTCACACACACACACACTCTTAAATTTTAATTGTAAGGTCTTCTACACACACGAGAATATATCTATACTCCCCCCCCCCTATCGAATCTGCCACTGGACATGCCAGCGGAGCCTGGTGCACATGCCCCCCCTAGCTTCAGCACTGCCTCCAACCACCCCACGTGCCTCCCCTTCCCCCACACTGAGCCACTATTACCTTGCTTCTCCCCACTTTTCTATGTCCCGCAACCTGCTCGGTCCGGGTACTGTCGAGATGCCCCGCCTCCTGCAGAGCCCGCACTGTACTGAGAGCCGCGCATTCCTTGTGACAGCCCCGGAGCCTCCGTGCCGCTTCAATGACGGCCCAGCCTGCACGGTATCAGAGCGGCCTGGGGACCACCAAAATTTTCACACACACACACTTTTCAGAAAAGCATCATAAATCAAAAAAAAAAAGTTAAATCGTATACTTGCCTTTCCCCCCGCTTTCTGCCCTGCAGGACCTAGGTAAGGGTGACGTCATCCTCCTTCTGGCAAGATCTGGGGAATGTGGAGTACTCCAAATCTTGTAGCTGCTCTCAGCATTGTGCCGCAGCGCCATGTCATACGATTTGGAGTGCCCGTCATTCCACAGGATCTTATCGGGAAGAAGAGGAAATCACCCCCTGCACCATGGAAGCCAGAGCAAAGGTGAGCATAATGTCTTGTTAGATTTTTTTTGTTTTCTTTAATGCTTGTGCCCTAAATGCTTCAAACCTGTATTTGTACATTTTGTATTCTCTCGCAGAGGTCGGAGCCAGCACTATCAAATGAATCCCTAATAAAAAGGGCCGTCTCTCTGGTAACAGACAGTACCCAGACTTATCTGTCTCAGACTACATATGCACTTATTGAATCTTTTACAGAATATACCAAGGTAAGCAAAGTCCTCGCATTCTGCATTGTTGGATATTATGTACTACACCTCTGGTTTTGTCATTTAAAATCTCTGTAAACATCATTTTAATGCTCATTTGGCAATAGGTTAATTTGTATAAGTATTGGAGCCAAACACCATGTAATCAGCTTGTGAACATGATCTGTGAACAGGGTGCTGTATAATAGCTGTTGCAACAATCTAACATTGTGTAAAACGTTGCACCACTTCCTAAACGCATTAGAGAACATGTGATGAGGATTTTGAGAACAATTCACTTTTGTTCACTGCTGATTGTGCATAGCGTTCATGGTTCCTCATAAGCTATGGATAGTTCCCCTGACATGTCCGGGAATAGGGGGAATGTATATCAGGTGTGAACGTGATCTGCTGAGTGTCTTATTACTGCACCGGGAAAGGTCAAAAGCTACAGAAGTACTGGTGACAAATGATTTAACACACTTTAACCCCCCCCCCTTTTTTTTTTTTTTTTTACACAGGCTGTGTATACACTTATCTCATTGCAGCAAAAATATACTTCTCTCTTGAATAAAATAAACTCTAGTGAAGAAAATGCCATCTGGCAGGTGATCATTGGGGCGCGTGTGCAGGTAATCCTGATTTTTTATTTTTTTTTCGTAACTTTCCCAGAATTATGGTTGCAACCTGCTGTCGGCAAGAATATTAGGTCCTATACTTGTTGTTTACGTATGCTGTAGCAACACTGCTTTTGCATACCGGGGAAAGGGGGCTGTGACCTCAAAGTATTCAACACCTGCCCTGTTTGACAAGGGAAGCTTATTTGGTTTGCAGGTTCTGTTTTAAGATGGACCTCCAGACAAAGCTTTTGGACCCTGTTTTAGAAGAGTGAAGAAAGTCTTATACTTTTGGCAGTGGGCTGATTCCAAAACATTTGGTCCATTATAGATACTAAGACTACATTGTTT